ATGCTAGGACTGCCCTGGGTGGCTGCACACATGGTTTGCAGTGGCCAAGGTGAGGATTATGCTTTGAGGTGAAACCTGCTCTGCTTACGTTTTCATTCTTATGTTTTAATCTTCTCAGATTGTGGGGAATTTAACTGTGAAGGACATCAGCATTGAGAGGATCAGTGTTGATTACTCCAGCTATGGGGAGGCTCAGGTCAGTGAGGGAGACTTTGGCCACGTCACGGAGATCTATGACTTCCCTTCATCCCTGAAAACAGAGGATCTGATGGAAATGTTCTCAGATTTCCTGTGAGTACCTTCCTGAGCTCCTCAGGGCTGTGAGTGGAGCAGCATTCAGCCTGGAACTGCTAAGATTTGGAGCTTTACTTTCACCTTCTTGTCTTCTCCTCCTCCTGTGCCTTAAAGGATGTTTTCCCTGCAGTTCATGCATGATTTAAAGCACAATCAGTTCTTACACACAGTTACCTACAGCCAAGCATATTCCTCTGCTCTGGCTTTCACCAGACTCTTTAGGTGTTTTCTAGGAGCTCCTTTGGGTGCCTGAGTGGAATGAGGAGCTTACATAACTCTGCAAGGAAAAGGCTGAGTTGGAGCTAAGGTTCATTATGTAAATGTGGCACTGAAGGTTGGTTAGTGGCAGGAGCAGGACAAAGTTCAGCCCTGCTGGTGATAACAGTGCTGGGTCCAGCTCTGAGTTCCTCTCCCTCTTTTCCTCCCTCCTTCTCCTCCTTCTCCTCCTCTCTGGGGGTAATTAGCTGTGAATATTCATCCATCCCTTCAATTAAACCCTATCAATCACAGTTTAAATCATTCCCTCTATGGTGTGTGTGTGTGTTTGCTCCAAGGTATTTTTTTCCCATTCCCTGAGCTGCAAACTAACAGATCCAATCTGAGCAGTCATTGCATTTCTTGTCCTACAGGAAACCTTGGAACTCTGCTCCCAAATTCCCATTTCTCACTGAGTCTTGATGAGATTTTTCACATCACTTTCTTCACCCTGAGCTCTGAAAAACCCTTTATCCATCACTTGGGTTTGATTGCTGTGGCTGAGCCCTTGGGAATTTTGGGAAACACTTCCTAAATGACAAAAGTTGTTGTGTATTGTGAGACAATCCCTAAAACTGAGCTTGATTTTTGGCTAAGGATTTCTTGAGAGGCAAAGGAGAGTTTTGGGGGCAACTGATGGGGTAATTGTACATTTAATATTTCCTCTTTCCTTCTTTTCCTTCTCTTTCCCCTCACTAAAAAATGAGGATAATGCTTTGGAAGGCAGCAGCAGAAACCCACTGAACATTTCTGATAACCCTATTGGGGTTTAATATTACTCTGTTGTCTTCCCATTCCAGGGAAAGTGGTTTCAAAATCCAATGGGTGGATGACACACATGCCCTGGGAATCTTCTCCAGCCTTTCCACAGGTAATTGTGGTAATTTTCCTCCAACCTTTCCACAGGTAATGGTTTGTGCCTGGGATTGAGGGACCCCAGAGCTGCCCCTGCCCAGTGCCCTGTGCTGGTTTGGGGTGTTTGAAGAGGTTCTGTGCTGGGGCTGAGCCTTTGCCAGAGGTTCCTCACATCCTTTTTCCTATTCTCTTCCAACTTGAAAGGCTTTTGAGGCTTGAGAAGTTGGAATTGCTGTGGTGATGCTGTGGGGAAACTCTGCAGCAGGTTTTTAATGGCCTTGGCTAACAATCAGGGTGTGTGGCGGGATTCCCACTGTGCTCCTGGAAACTGAGCTGCTTTGCCACTTCTTTTTCACAACAAAGTGGCTAAAACTCCTGCAAAACATTCAGGAACCTCCCAAGGCCTTTGGGAGTGAGATGGCACATGGGGCAGGCACCACCCCTCTGGGTAAAGTGACTTTTTTTGGGGACACAGACCCCACTCTGAGCCCAGCAGAGGTTCCCACCCAGCACCAAGTGTTGCTGTTGCTTTTGCCTTGAGATTTAGCCTAAGAATGACCAAGTTCTTCTAGGCAGAACATGTTTATATTCCCTTGGGATTCTTCCCATGTGTGTGAGGAAAGCCTGAGGTGACCACAGTATGAGCCATGAGCAAATCAGCAGCAGCTGAGCCTCAGATTATTGAGTGTTGTTTTACCCCATTTGGAATTTTGTGGGATTTAGTCCAACAATCTTTGCTCTTTGCAGCATCTCAAGCCCTGGGACGACGTTATCCTTGTTTGAAGATCCGACCACTGATCCATGCAACAAAGCAATCCAAGATCAAGGCACTCCAGAGACCAAGTAAGACAACAGATTATGGTAGTTCACTGGCTTTTTCACAGATTTTTTTCACAGATTTTTTTCTCCTCTTAAGATGTTCAGGCACTGGACTAAGGAATTACTTAGAGAGGTGGTGGAGTTACAACCCCTGGAGGTGTCTGGAGGAGATGGATTAGGATTTAGGGGTTCCAGCAGTGACAGATTAATGATTGGACTTGATGATCTTTAGAGGCCTTTTCCAACCTTAATGACCCTATGTTTTCCCAGTCTTGTAGAACCTGAGTGGCCAAGATGACAAGTTAAATGAGGAAATAGATCTCAAGGCTTAGAATTTCTTGTGTTTCATTGGGTTTTTAGGGCTCTGTTGGTATTGCAGGACAGGGAGTTGTTGGGGAGAGTCTTTGCATGTGGCTGAAATTCAGGTTTTGGCTTTTTTTGGGGGTTATTTGCTGCTCTTGAGAGGAGTTTGAAGGGCAGAGTTGCACTGCTGAGCACACACCAAGCATGGCACATACCATAAAACCTTCCCAGGAGCTTTCTCTGCCCTTTTTTTTCCCCCCTTGCACAGTGAAAGATGAGACAAACCCAACAGCATTTCCAGCTCGTGGTTGGCAGAATTTTATTTCAGGATCAGGTGAAGGCAAAAATGGTTAAGCTTAGCCATTAACAATGTTTTCTTTATTTTATCATTGCCTTGTAGAATCATATTGTGATCAGTTATGAGTTGTTCAGGGAAAGAAATGAAATGCCATGAACCTTGTAGCAGCAGAGACTTTGCTGAGTGTACAACTCCTGATGGTTTCCAGTTCACTGCAGTTGAACAAACCTCAATATTAAAGCTTTAAAAGGGACACTGTCACAGTTCCAAGTTCCTGAGTTTTGTTTTGGTTTGTCTTTTTTTTTTTTTTCAGACTGATGGTTTGAAATGAAACACCCAAGAATTAAGTTTATTTGCACTTTCCCCTTCACCTGTTTTCACTCACACTTCTGAATCAGGTTCTAAACTCCTCTTGGGGAACTAGAAACTATATCTTTGAGCTCTAAATTCTGTTTATCTTCTGTGTAAATGGATTTCTTTTTTTTTCCCCCACTTAGAAATTTGGATCTTAATTAGCTGACAGTGTCTCTCCTGGTTTTTCACCTTGATTCATGAACCCTGTGGAAAAAAAACCAAGCAAAGCCTCCTTTGCTCTGGGGCTAATAACTCTGCAAACAGTTATTGAGGAAGGATTAGGGAACTGAAAAAAAATAAATCCAGATTATTGTTTACTTGGCCAAAGTTGGGTGTATTCAGTCCTTGTAGGAATAAATTCCTTGTAGCCCAACCTGGAGGTCACTGCCCAAAGGGATTTCCCAAAGCATCTGAGATGTTTAGATGTTACTTAAAATGCAGATTCACTTTTTTTTTAAATCTTGCTGTTTGGATAAGGGTTTTGATAAGGCTTTAGACCTACTGAGTTTGAGGTCTGAATTGAGCTCCAACTTCCCTGTGCATGAGGGAGAAATGTTGGATGGATCACAAGGATGTGATGTGCTGAGTTTTGCCAGGAAGAATTGGGAAACTTTGCCTGGGAGGGAATGGGGAACAATACTCTCCCCAAGAAGAAGAGATTTGCAGCTTAATCATGACCAAAGAGCTTGGAATAGTCATTGGCAGATCTGGAGGCAGATCCTGAAAGCAAAGCTAGGGAGAGGTGGAGAGGATGGGGAGAAACCAAGAGAACAAAAATCAGCTCTGGCTGCTCTGATTTAGCCACAAACTGCTCTGACCAAGCTCTTAACTCACTCATTTCCTTTCCTTTGTCCCTAGAGCTCCTGCACTTGGCCAAGGAGAGGCCCCAGACAGATACAGCTGTGGCCAGGAGACTTGTGTCCCGTGCCCTGGGGCTGAGGAACAGGCACCAGGATGGCTCAGCACCCGAGGGGCTCCTGCCAGAGGAATTCCAGGAGGAATAAAACATCTCAGCTCCCCAAGTGCTGTCAAGCTGAGCATGGCTGTGCTATTAAACTGCATGCAGAACAGTGAGCTGCCCCAGGGCTGTTCTCTTGGGGTTTAGCACCAGGACCTTGGGATGGGGAAAAGGTTTAGTGTTAAGATTTTTTGGTTTTGGAGCCCTGGGAGGTGCTGGTGACTCTGTTGGGGAAATGTTTCAAAGCTTGTTCCTCACTGCCTGCAGTGATAAGGCTGCAAACAGCAAAGGATGCTCTAGGATTTCAAAATATGGATATTAAGAGGAAGGGAATTGGATTTTTTTGGGGCCAAACTCAGCTGGAAGCAAGAGCAGGAGTGAAAAAGTTGCTTCATGTTGACTTTGTTGGAATATTATCAATCAGCTATCCCCAAAAACTGACAGGCAGTGAGTGTAAGGGAGTTTCAGGGTGGGTTTTTCCCCTTAATTACACAGTGTTTAAGGAGCCTGAACTTGCTCTATTAGCAAGGAAAGTTATCCTATGCTCCTTAGGGAAAGCAAAACAAAACTTGCCTGTTGTGAGTTGCCCAGAGCTTGGTGTGAAGGTGCTTCAAGACACCTTGGGGTTTGGCACCAGCACTTCTCAGGCTCTGCTTTTCCTCCAGTTTGACATGTTAAGAACACAGTGGAGTTTTCCAACTTCCAGGAGGCAAAATCCCTTTGGTAGATCCCACCTGGGCCAGTGGCTAAAGGCCAAACCTGCCAAGCCCCAGCAAGAGGTTTGTGCATCCTTTAAGCCTCACAACATCCCTGTGAGGTAGGTTTGGGGCAACACAAGTTTGCAACCAGTTTTCATTCCCTGTGGATTGAAAAAGTCAAGTTCTAAGGTTAACATCTGCTGTTTGTAGAATTCTTTGATTCAGAGGGAAGGAAAACATAAGAACACAGGAATTGCTGAGCTTTCCATGGTGTGGGAATACATAAATGGAGTAGGAATACACGAATGGAATGGTCTAAACCAATTCTTTTCTGGGTAAAACATTTTTATTCAAGTAGGTGTGTCTGGAGATGTGTAGCAATGTGTGTCCTCAAACAAACAGAGGAGCACACCTAGCACCATGGTGAAGTTACAGCTTACACAGGTGAGTCTGTGACAGCACAGTGCAGATCCCTGGTGAGCAGAGCCATGGAGTGACCTCTGTAAGGTGCAAGGAGGACACAAAGCCTTAACTAACTCATCCTTAAAAAAAACAAAAACCAGAATATCCAACTTGGGAGGTGATACTTGGATGGATGTAGAATCTGTTGGGTGAAGAGCTTACTGTGGGATGGAAATTCACAATCCAGTGGTCTCATCATCACCAGGAGATCTACAAAATTCTGGCTGCTGAAAGCAGGTGGAGCTTCAGGAAGTTCTGCTGAATGTGTCCAAATCTGTTCTGCATTAGCTGCTCCACTTCCAGGGCTGGTGTGGAGTCAGTTGTTGAAGCCAAGAGTTTCACTGCAGTATTAAACGATGCTTTACACTGTTCTGCTTGGAAAAAAAAAAAAAAGCTGCTCCATTTCTCTTTTTTCCTGTCTTTCTGTGCTAAACTGGAGTCATGCCATGGCAGTGCTGAGGAGGAGCTGTGTGCAAGAAGCTTCAGTCAAAAAGAGCTTAAAGAGACCCAAATGAATGCCTTGAAAAATGAAGGGTTAAAGACACTTTTTAGGCTGTTGGGTACCCAAACCAAGGCAAAAAGTGTGTTTGCTGCAGCCTGGCCCTATGTCTGTGAGGAAAGATGGTGCTGCAAAGTGCAGGGAGAAACCTTTGCAGGAGGTTGGAATGGTGAAGAGCTGGAGCCAAGAAGAGTTTCAAGCTCTCCAACTCCCACAGGGGTGAGACTGGAGTCACCTGGAGGGCTGAGCAACTCCCCTGGGAAGGAAGGCATCTGTAGGAAATAATTTACCTTGCTAATTAAGAGTTTGATTGGTTGCTTGATTTTTTCCTGGTTGTGCAGTGGTTAGGGAATCACCAGAGCAGGAGTTCTGCCTTCTTTAAATAGTGGGTGGTGGGAGGTTTATCTGGTAGCCACTCTGTTATTTGTGAGTCCAGTGAAGTGGTCAAACTTCTGCTCTGTTTCCTCACTGAAGGAACCACCTGGAGAGGCCACAAAGAGAGCACAGGGTGAACAGGAGGTGGCAGAGGCAGCAGGCAGAAAACACATTGGGATGGGTGGAACATGCCACAAAGGGCTCAAAAAGTTTCCTAGGCTGATTAATTTAGGCTTTCAATCTCATCAGAACTGGCCCAGCCAAGAGGCCTCAAGAGTGCTGCATTTAGGCTGGAAGATTAGACTACAAAATCCCCAAATTTCACTGCTTTGCTGCTTAAAATTTAGGTGCTGACTAGCAGGACCTGAGTCCTGGTCTTCTCTGTGAGGCTGATGCTCTGTGGGTTCTGTTTGCTCCTAATTAGGACCAGACTCTTAATTTTTCACTCATTAAGGTACAATGAAAGCTAAATATATTTATTTTGACCTAGGAATATTTCCCAGCTCAGCTACAGAGCTCATCCAGCCTTAGTTCCAGCTGAAGTGGCCTTGGCTTTGCTCAACTAGGCCACAACCTCAAGGATTTTCTCACAAAAATCCAACAAACTAATGTGAGAACTCATTGGCTACATGGATTTTATTATTTTTTTTTTTCAGGAAAAACACTCCTAGAAGAGCTTCAGTGCTGAAGGAGGTTTTCAGAGCTGGTTTTACAGGCAGTGGCTGTTCATTTACTGTCTGTATGAAAACACATCCACAACCCCCAAGTTAATTCCTTTTGAAAATGAACCTGACAATTAACTAAGTCAAATTTAGACTAGTTGGGCTTTGATATTTCCATACCAAAAACTTCCAAATGTTTTATATACTATAATGTTTTATATAACCTAATATTTTCTATGTATCCATGGAAATACAGAACTTTCCCTCACATTTAGTGGTTGGGACTAGATGAGCTTTAAGGTCCATTCTAACCCCAAAAACTCTATGTTTGAAGGGACAGGAGAATATTTTCATTCCTGGCTTGAGCCAAGGGCTTTTCCCCACTGCTCCTGCTTTATTTTTCAGGAGCAAAGAAGCTTTGGGAGGGCTGAAGAATTCACTGCCAGGTTGGTAAAATAATCTGGATGGGGGAAGAAGCTGTAGCTGTTTGTCTGGACTTCGGATCGCTCCAGAGCTCTCCTGGTGAGGGGAAAACCACTCATTTCCTTATCCAAGGGAGACAATTGGAGCATCCTTGTCCATGTGGGAGCCAAGCTGAGGGATTCCAGGCTGGGCCATGGGCAGCAGGCAGTGGTTGCCCTCACCTATGTGGCAGTTGTACATCCAGATGCGTTGCCCGTCGTAGCGGCTGCGACACTTCATCACGTTGTTGGAGTAATCTGACTCAGCTACTTCATAGTTTGGGTTGATGACGACCTGGGGGAGGGAGGAAGACACAATGGGAAGGTGTTTCAAGGTGGGTTGGGTAGGACCTAGGGAGAATGAGCTGTTTCATGTTGGGTGTTGGCAGAGAGAAAGAGTTTTGCAAAGAGATAGAAAGGATTTGAGTCAAGGCAGATCAGTCATGGAATAGGTTGGGTTGGAAGAGATCTTAAAGGTCATCTAGTTCCAACCCCAAGGACATCTTCTACCAGTCCAGGTTGCTCCAAGCTCCATCCAACCTGGCCTGGAACACTCCCAGGGATGGAGCAGCCACAGCTTCTCTGGGCAACCTGTGCCAGAGCCTCAGCACCTCACAGGGAGGAATTTCTTCCCAATATCCCATCTAAACCTCCTCTCTGTTAGTTGAAGCCATTCCCTGTGTCCTGTCCCTCCAGGCCCTTGTGTCAATTGTCTTTCTCCATCTCTCCTGTAGCTCCTGTGCATTGAGGTCACCCTGAAGCTTCTCCAGACTGAACAATCCCAACTCTCTCAGCCTTTCCTCAGAGCAGATGTTCTCCAACCCTCTATTCCATCACTGTCACAGCTTCTCCCATTCACCAAAATCTCCCCTCAAACACCTTTTCTCCACACAACATAGACAAGAAATCATTCCTCTCTCTTCCCTCCTCTCCCATGGAAGAGGAGCCAAAGGATTCCCCCCATTCCCTCCACATGCTCAGCCTTAACTCCTGTAAACACCCCAAAATTAGCACAATTTAATCCCCAAATTAAGAGAGTTTTGCTTACAAACAGCTCCAAAGCTTAGAGCAGGACACCAGTAGGATCTGTGCATCCAGATGTGACAACATCAGCTGCACCTGGGCTGGCTGGGACTATCAGGAAGGAGCTGGACATGGATTTTTTTATTTTTTTTTTAAGACTAATCTCTAACCTGTAGTTTGTGCCCTGATTTTTTACTTGGAAATTGTCCTGGTTGATAATCCTTTATCTTTCTGTTAGCCTGGGAATATAATCTCTTTCTAATCAGAAGTAAGACATGGCTAAATAAATGAGTTAGGTGATTTTTTTTTGACATGATAGGTAAAATAAAAAGGAGTGAAAATGTCTGGAAGAGGTAATCCCACCTGGAAGA